TTTTTTCCTTGTTGAGATGGTTTTCAGCAGTTATTTCTCTAGATATTTTTTCTGGGCCTTCCCCTCCCTCTTCTCCTTCTGGGACCCCATGCTGTGGACGCACTTCCTCTTGGTTTTCATCTTTAAAAGCCTATTTTTTTCTCTATGTTTTTCTACTTGTGTGTTCTCTCAGACTGTGTTTTAAGCTCATTAGTTCTCTGCACTGCTCCTCTCTCTCTGAGAAAGCCCTCAAGTGTAGTTTTTAATTTGGCGATAGCAAGTCTCTGCTCTGTTCCTTCCAATGGCCGTTGAGTTGTCTTTTCTTTCCCTCTTTTCTAGCCTCTGCCATTATTTTGAGCCCGACTGTGTTGCTGTAACTGTTACCTTGCGCTATCTTCTACATTCCTGCTGCACTGAAACCTCCCTCAGGGTTTTTCGGTGCCGGCATTTCTAGTATGTTTTCCTGTCTTCTTTTTAGTTTTTATGGGTTGCAATCAGGATAGATTTTCAGGCTGTTGGTTTGCACCCATTGAGCTAATTAGAGAACGGTACCTTCTGGGGTAGAAGGAATAAAAAAGGCCTGAGCCCCAGAGGGTCCCCTCCAGTGGGCCGCAGGGATTTGGCTTCCGACAGGGAAGTGGGGCCAGACCTGTGTGGTGGGTTCCATGCTGACCCCGTCCTCTCCGCTGCTCTCCCTTTGGTGTCTTCTACAGTCCTGGGCCTCCTTCTACATCAAGGCTCTCCCTGCGCATGGGATGCAGCCCTGGCCATGGGTGGAAGTTGACTTGGGGTCACAGGCTGAGAGCTGTTCTCTTTCTTTTCTGGCACAGAACCTTATCCTGTGTGTTTACCCTGTGCTTGAATTCCAGTTTATGCAAATATTCATTTGTTGTTTTGGTTTTAGCCCTGGAGTGGCAGGCGTTTTGAATGGCCCGTCCTCCATTCTGAGTGGTAGTTTCTACGCTTAAGGAGACGCAGGTGATCCTCCCTGTTGTGCCTCCATTCAGGCTCCAGCTGTTACATCCCCAGGCTCAAGCCCGGTATCCTCACCTTGCACCCCAGCCCCTGCAGTTTGCAAGGTGCACCCTGGGTGTCTTCTCTGTATCCATCTATGTCTAGCGAAGTGCCGGGTCTCGGAAGTCACCAGTGTGGTTCTGTTTGTTTACTCCAACATGGAAATTGGGGGAGCCCAGAGAAGGACCTTGGGGCACTATCTATGGGACTGATTACTCTGCGTGCAGACAGCATGTCTATCTAGGCGGAAGGTTAGGCTAAACCTCAACCTCCCACTCAACCAAATGAGGACAAAAATACTTTTTCAAGTAGGTTCATTTCTGGGTTTGTAGTTGTTTTCCTGCCATAGGGGGGTTGGCAATTTTAATTGAAGAGATGAATGATACTCTAAATCAATTGTACACAATTTAGCAGTAAAAAACAATAACACCAACCCAAATGTGAGGAGGAACAGTAGAGTTACTCTAGCAATGTCTTAACTCTGAAACCAATTGATTACTTAAAACAGGAAAAATAAAGAGACAGAGGTAAGTTTGACTTGGGAAACAATTGAAAGTATGGTTTGCTGCTCTCCCTTTGGTGTCTCCTACAGTCTTGGGCCTCCTTCTACATCCAGGCTCTCCCTGTGCATGGGATGCAGTCCTGGCCATGGGTGGTACCTATGGGACCAATTACTCTGTGTGCAGACAGCATGTCTATCTAGGTGGAAGGTTAGGCTAAGCCTCAACCCCCACTTAACCAAATGCGGACAAAAATAGTTTTTTAAAGTAGGTTCATTTCTGGGTTTGTAGTTGTTTTCCTGCCATAGGGGATTTTTAATTTAAGATATGGATGATATTCTAAATCAATTGTACACAAATTAGCAGTGAAAAACAATAACACCAACCCAAATGTGAGGAGGAACAGTGGAGTTACACTAGCAATGTCTTAACGCTGAAACTGCAAATCAAACGTTCTATGAGGAACATCTGTAAGTCCAGTGAAACTTAAGCCATACTGAGGGAAGAAGAGGCTGGCACAGTGTCCATAGTGACAGGTGAAAGACACAGCTGGCAAAGCAAAACTAAGGACATGTACTGTATTTTAATTCATTTACTAAATAGTCAGAGTCCATATTGTTGTAAGTCCAAGAATAAATAAAAGGGAGCCCTGGAGGTTTTCCTTTCAGCAGAATGGCAGCTCATGAATGAAGCAGAGATGGTTGGCTAGAAAATGAGTATCTGTAGTCATCAAAGTAATAAAGAATTCAGCCAAGAAACATCAGTAAATGCCAATGAGGAGCAAGTAAGAAGACAAACAGGGTATTTGCATAGTCTCAAAGTACCTTCCAAAAATATTTGCTAATTACAAAGAGGAAAATGAGTAACTCCACAGTGGAGACCCAGGAAGATATCATGTTCATCAGTGATGAGTGTTAACATCCCAATAATGGGACACATCAAAACTTTGTTATCACTCTATAGTCTGCAGTGGGAAGAACATGTCACTTCTTGACGTTCCTGCCCCAAATGCTGAACCCGAGTCTACTCATTAGGATGCATAAGGGGAACCCAGATTGGGGGCTCTTCTATAGGACTGTCCTGTAGTTTTCAGAAGTGGAAATGCTTGACATCAGTGATAGTCTGGGAGACTTTATCAGCTAGCTGCTATGCCTGTTATGGCTTGGCCTGTCTTTCCATCGGTACAGTATGAGATGAGGACAACTGGCAACATTTAAATGAGGCCTGGGGTAAATGGAAATGAGATGCCAATAGTGTCACCAATGCTAATCCTGGTTGAAATGGTGGTATTGAGGTTATGGTGAGACTGTCCCTTTGTAGAAATAACTAGAAAAGCTACAGGTAAAGAAAGGTACCCCAGAAAGAAAGTCAAAATGTTGGACAAAAGTTTCATTGCAAAATTTTAATAGCAGAATGCTAATCTAAAGTTTAAAGGAATGATATCTCAGCACAAATCATTAGCTAAGGCTATTGATATAAATAAAGTTTGCAAAGAAAAAATGAAAGAGTTGCAGGGCTGCATGGGGGATGTGTGTGCAGGTGCCTTGGGAGAAAGGACCAAACATCAGAAAACGCAGGATTAGCCCCAGGACAGAACGATGGGCAGAAAGATAGAGAATCACAGGTGCTTGCACACCTATGCCCTGTGCTGTCCCGCAGCTGGATTCTCCGGCCCCTCAGGCCCTCCCCACCTCTGCCCGCTCTCTTACTACACTTCAGATCTTCAGGAATGTAGTAGACCTTGTCTCCTCACTCTCCTGGGGGCTCATCCAGTATTTCCACTCCTCTAGCACTGTTATAAGGCAGTTACGTTTCAATAAAAGTGGGAAAAAATAAGGGTAGTTCCTGAGCCCACATAAACTGTGCGTAGGAGAATCCTAATGAGAGAATAGTTTGGTTGTGGGTGTATATGTATCAGTTTCCCAGGATTGCCAAATGAAGTATCTTGAACCGTGATGATAAAATAGCCCAAGTTTATTTTCTTATATTTCTTACATTACAATTCCAAAATCAAGGTATTATCAGGGCTGGTTCCCTATGAAAACCGCCAGAATTCTCTTGTGTGCTTCCCTCTGTCTTTTGCTGTTTGCAGACAGTCCTGGACTTACAGATGCATCTCTGCAGTCTCTTCTTCCACTGCCACATGTCACAGTGTCACAAGGTTCAGCAAGTAGAGTGGTTGCAGGTCATGGGTCATTTTAATATTAAGCTCAAGATGAAGAGTATGCAGGGTAGGCCATGCAAGCTGTGAGAAACAAGGGTTATGTTGTCTTGTATGGATTAATACAATGTTTGATCTCTGTGTTTCTGTGCCCAAATTTCTCTCTTCCTGTAAGGGGAGCAGTTATTTTGGGTTAGGAGCCCATTCTACTCCAATGTGACCTTACATAACTCCATCTGCATGATCCAATATTCAAATAAGGTCATATTCTGAAGTAATGGGGCCTAGGACTTCAATGTGTCTTTTTGAGGGGCACAATTCAACCATAACAGGTGGCATCCCCTGGGGAATGAAATACTCTGTTTAGCCAGCGTTGACAATGGCCTGTGCCCAGAGGGGCCTTTCCCTGCAGGTCTCCATGTTTCCTGGGCAGTGTCCCTGGACATGGATGGGGTGTGTTGGGAAGGAGCGAGCAGGAGGGGGTACTCCTTCATTTCCGTAAACAGAGTGTGGTTTGAGTGTCCCCACCCCAGGGCAGAATGGGAGGGAATGGAATGGAATGGGGAGGAAAGCCAGGGTTCAATGACGGTGGGGGTGTCAGGAGCAGACCCCTTTGGTGGCCAGGAGAGAGGACGGGCAGGAGAGCTGACTGTTCTCCATGCTCTAACTTGAGTGTTGCTTCCCCAACTCCTTTGTGCAAAGTGCTGTGGGGATCCTGTCGGGAAACACTGATGCAGGATACTCCGATGAAAATGATATGAATTCAGTTGGTTTTAGTCAAGGCCAATTGTCCCTGCAATGGCTCATTTTACTGATCTGATCTGAGTAGCCACTGCCCTTGTGCCAGCATAGGAGCCTGACGGGAAGGCAGAAGGCCCTTGTTTCAGTAAAGGGCCTTCTAACACCAAATGTGCTTTTAACACCAAATGCTCAGACTGAGTATTTTCAGGATGAGAAATTCTGGTGCTGTGTAGGATGATTTAGCGTTTGGACATGGGTAAGTGTTGCTAAGGATCCCGTGTGAGGAATCAGGGGCCAAGCAGAGCTGGACTGCAGTTTGGGGCAGGAGAAACTCAGCACACGTGACTGTGGCTCAAGTGATTAAATGATTAGAGGCTGCATCCCCCAGGCAGACTGTGGCTGGCCCAGGGCCTGGCCAGGTCATCCCCTGCCTGGTGTCCCTCCTGGGAGGGTTCTTCCCTCTGCCAGCCCCCCATTTTAGGGCCCAGCCCACAGAGCACAGGCACATGGTAAGGTGAATACAGTCAATTTTATTGCTTTAGCTCAATTGAGGGAATGAGGTTTAAGTGTGGAGATCTCATTTCATCCAGAACCAAGATGCTAGTGCCGGAGTGTCTGCAGTCCTGTCCAATTTCAGTCTGTAGAGAGGAAAGTGGCCGTGGGATGGGTCTTGAAGGGCGCACGCTGCTCCATACTGTCCCCCGTCAGCTTCAGGTTTATGCTCTTGTAGTGGAGGAGCTTCGTGGGCATAGAGGATGAAGGTTAGACTCACCAGGAGCCTGGAAACTTAACCTCCTGCCCCACCTTGGAGCGCCATGAGGGACAGAAACAGGCAGGGTCACAGGGGGCCACCGGGGGCTTAGACCCCAGAAGCCATCTGGCAGCAGACCTCGGAGAGCGGGGGCGGGAGGAATGGAGGGGGAAGGTTTAGAGATCAGAGACATTTGCAGGCACAAGTGGGGAAGCTCAGCAGGGAGAGGTGCTGCTTGAGAATGCTGGGGCAGGCCCAGGCTCCTGTGGGGGTGAGGGTGTTGAGGCCATCTTGCCCAGCCCCCACCCTGCCAGTGTGTGCGGAGTATTACCGTTCCTAAAAGGCTTTGCCTCTTTGGTACTCACTTTTATTTTATTCTTTTTTCTGCAGTCCAAGTAGGTTTGCAATAATGTCTCTGATACCGCTCAGGAAATCTAATTTTGGAAGAGAGTGATATCAATAGCCTAAAAGGGATCTAATATCGCTATGTCACCTACGCCCTCCCCCAGATATACTTCTGGTACCCAATTCCAAGTTTGAGAAGGTTTTCCGAGCTGGCTCGCTTCTCTGTCATAGGAAGGCAGCTGGACCGGAGAGGAAATCACGTATGGCGAAGGCAGCAAAATTGACTTTTGAGAAAGTCTGTATGTGGGAGCAGTAAGGGCCCCTAGTGGTTGTTCTGTGTTCAGATGAGTGAACACAAAGGCTCCCTTCACCCCTGACTTCTCTCTGAGGGAGAAGGCCCGGAGGAGGCCTGGAGCCAGAGACTTCCCTGGGCTGCTGCTCGCCTGGAGGCACACTTACCCAATATTCCCCTGGGGGAGGCTTCAATAACCTGGTTATTCGCCATAGCAGCCCTCGCGTCAATGTTTTTTGCCTCCTGGGGTAGAACAAGTTTCATTCCACTGTGGAAATCCTCAGCAGGATCATCTACAATCACATCAATTTGTTGATTTTAGCTGTTTTTTTGTTCTCTTTGAAATAATTCGAGAGCAATAAAATATCTGATAGGTGCGGGGTGGCAGCATACAGAGGAGACACGGCACAAACCTTTCCCTAGTAGCAGAGATAAGATCTGTACCAGACACACATCTGTGCGGACACACATCTGTTGACGCCCCAATTCCTATGTGGACCGTAGGGTGGGGCACTGGGTGGGGCACACATGGATGGAATTAGGGCCCTTCGAAATGGAGAGCAGAGAGATCACTCTCTTGGTCTCAGCCAAGTGAGGCTACAAGAGGTTGGGTCTGCAGCCTAGAGGAGGGTCTTCCCCCATCCCGACCACGCTGACTCCCTGACCTCAGGCTCAGCGTCTGGGGCTGTGACAATAGATTTCCGTAGTCTAAGCCATGGTGGCTGTTGTAGCGGCCTGCATGGACTGACGGTGTCTCTGGGAAGAGGGCAGGGCAGGGGCCTCTCATAGGAAGGTTGTGGAGGGTGTGGTCCTGGGTATGGGGAGAAACAGGCAGCTTTTGAGAGAGAAGCTGGGCCTTGAAGGCAGGGGTCAGGAGGGAAGATGTTGGAGGGTCTTCCTTAGGGAAAAGAAACAAGTGAGCAGGATCGCAGTGTGGGCCGTGCAATTAGGCTCAGTTTAGCTGCCATGGGTTGCTCATGAGGAAGTCTTGGGAAGTGGCTTGGAAAATGAGGGAGAGACTGGATAGAAGGTATCGTGATATGGGGTGGGAGCCAAGGGCGGTGCTGGAGCGTGAAGGAATTCATACTGTATAGACCATGTCCTTATCCCTAATCTCATCTTTTGTCCTGTCATTCTTAACAAACCTTTCACCTTTCTCCCCACTGTCTGGTTCCCATGTTTGTTCTGAGGCTTGTCCCATCCCAATCCCTGCCCCCTCCATGTCACCAAGAGCCGGGCCCAAGTCCACCCCCAGAGAGTGCTCGCCCCCTGCCAGGACATCCCCATTTGTTTATCCCTCATGCTGAAGGCAAGGGTGGGAGGGAGAGACTTACAGGAAGCCTGAATCTTGAGTTTGCCTCTCCGTCTGGCATCAGAAGTGGCATCTTCTGCAAAAGATGAGACACATAGTGAGGACTGACCCTGCGCCCCCGCAGCCCCCACCCCTCATCCTCCAACCTCATTGCCAGGGTAACAACGGGCTTGGGGACGCGTCCCCCCTGGGCCTCATCATGACTTCCAGCAGCTGTTCTCTCTGCTGATGAACTGGAAGTCCTCTTGCAGGGGCTGCTCTGAGCAGTGTGTTTGCTCTCCCTGCAAACTCTCCTCCCTGCTGGCTGCGGCCTGGGAGGTGCCTGAGGTCCCTGTCTGGGCCAGCACCATGGCCCGAGGGTGCAGCTCCACCTGTGCAGGATAGCACAGCCCAGGGGCCAGGCCAGGGGGTTTCTGGGACAGGGCCTCAATCCTCATTCCCTTTATTGTTTCAACACATTTATGCAAAGCTCTCTCTAATCAGACACTTCAGCGCTGAAGAACCTGCCCTGAGAGCTGCGAGCAAAAGCACAGTGACTGTTTGCAAAGAGAAACCAAGGTCTCAGTGGTTCTGTTACAAGTGCATGCAGTGCTCTTTGGCTCATCAATAGCTAAGCTGAGAAATGACAGATGTGAACCTGCTGACTAGGGCACCCCATGCTGGTGGGGGAAGAGGAAAGGGGAAGGAAAAGCTCTTTGCAGATGGAAGAATAATAAGGAAACATTGATGTGAGGGGAGCAGCGCCTTGTGCTGCAGGAAGGGCCTGAGAGTCCCTGCCACAGGCTGCGCTGGGCCCGGCCCATGGGTCCCGGGCTGTGTCCTTCTGCAGCCCCCGCTGCTGCCTGAGGGGAACATGGCCCGAGTGCATGGGGGCCCAGAGCTCCTGCGGGAGCTGCGAGGCTGTAGCAGTCGTGAGAGGTGCTGTGTGGAGGGGGAGCCTGGACAGCCTGAGAGGCAGGGGTCCCTCCTGTTCAGTGCGGTGAGGAGGCAAGATGTGCAGGAGCAGGGGGGGGCAGATGCTGGCAGAGGTAGAGGGAGCAGGAGGGCACAGGGGGAGAGAGAGGGGAGGGCAGAACTCAGGCGAGATGGAAGAGCGGGAGGTGCAGGGAAGGCCACACTCACCAGCCAGAACCAGGGTGCCAGCCAGAGCCGCCAGGAACAGCAGAGCGAGGACTCTCATGCTGAGGGATGGTGTGACGCAGCCAGAGAATCCGCAGAGGGTCCAGGATACTGTCCAGGCTGACCACTGGGCCCCTTTTAAGGAGATCAAGGGCCAATAGGAACCACGTTGACACGCGTGACCTCGTGCCCTCTGCCCTCTTCCCCCGAGGTCTCCTGATAAGTCCACAGGGCGCGCTCGGGCTGGCCGAGGACTGGGCCTGTCGGGGGCTTCACCTCTGCCCTTCAGCATTCCCTTTCCTTGTTCCTCCTTCCCCACCCCACTTGCCCTTTGGGTTCCTATCTTTGGGGTCAGGAAGCAGAGGGACTTTTGTTGAAGGATTTTGGAATGTGTCTCTGGAGGGTATTGGTAGAATTTTCTGCCTTGGTGCTTTTCCCGGAGGTGAGGGGCCTAGGAGATCGCATGCCTGCCTCTCACCTCGGCCTCCTCAGAGCTCATTTCAGGGACTTGAAGATTTGTCCCGAGTAAGAAGTCCTTTCCTGGGAGGACACACAGGAACGGAGTTCCTCAGGTCTTTGTGCTTCATGGGGCCGGGGGGAGTCTGCGGGAGGGTTTCTGTGTGTGGACCTAGGGAGAGTAGATGTGATCCTAATAGTCTCCAGAGCTCAATACAAAAGGCAACTTGAGCAAAAATGATTTATGCACATTTATTTTAAGCGATATTTAGAATTTTTTAGTGTTTCAATTTTAACACTAGAGCTGTCAGAACAAGGGCTGATGTCCCTGCTCAGCCCTCTCCCTCTGCCGTGCCCTCCCCAGCCCCAGGGATGAGCCTGGCGGGCAGTGACAGCCGGTGGTGAGGAGCAGAAATGCTCAAGCTCACTGTTGCTCTAAATATGTGTCCTTTGCTAGAACTGGGTAGGAATATGAAAGGAAAGAGGCCACTCCATGGTCTGAGTGAGCGGCTTGTCCTCTGTGGTGTCTTGTCTTCCAGGGAATATGATTCCACGACTGTCCATGGCTAGTCTTGTCATTCCTCAGTCCTGACTACCTGCTGTCCATTCTCTGCGTCCCTGTGTTTCCTTCCATCTCTGCATGGTGTGAGGATGACCTTTGCGGATCAAGCACCTGACTCCCTTGTGCTCCAGCTCCTAGTCCTGACCGGCCTGTGGGCGCGTGGTGAGAAGTGACCCGATGGCAAGACAGAGCGGCAGGCCCCTGTTCCTCCTGCTCCCTCCAGCTTGGCCCGTGTGGTCTGTAGATGCTCAGATGGTGCCCAATGATCTGAACTGATTCCCCCTCCTGGTTATCATGTCCCTATAGAATTCCCTCTGCTCAACCGTGAGCTGACCTAGTAGTTTGATTCTGACCCATCGAAAATGGTGAAAGTGATGCCTGTCTGAGATTATGAAGAGATCATGAAAGAATGTGACTTCTGTCTTGCATACACACACACACACACACACACACACATACACACACACACACACACTGTGTCTCTCTCACTTGGGGGGATCTCATAGCGTGTTTACTCCGCTGTTATAGGCGCTCTGTGGAGAGGGCCAGACAGGAAGGACTAGGTGGGCCTGCCCTGCAGTGAGAGGGTCCCCATCCTGGCAGCCTATGCGGAACTGGTTCCCCCACAACCCTGTCCCTGAGCTGGGGCTATGCCTAGAGGTGACCTCAGTCTCCACTGCCCCATCATTGCAGCTGCCAGAGCCTCTGAGCAGAGCACCGAGTATGTGCCACCTGGGCCCACTCACAGCACCTGGGTGGCAAACATGATGTTATTGGAGCTTCCAGGTGAAGGGAAATGTTGTTGTGCAGCCAGAAAATCACCAAAGGATGTTGTGGGAGTGTGTGTTCTTCTCTTCTGTAGCTTCTGCAGGGAGCCTGGCTCCCCAGCTCCATGTCCTGGCTGGTCTCAGGAAGGATGTGTCCTTCTCCTGCTGCTTCTTCATTTTCAGGGATGGTGATGGCATATGCTGGTGGAAGTTCTTCCCTGTCCCTGAAAAGTGTTTATTTTTCCATAAAGAAACTCTTTGCTAAGCCCCTCTGAGTGTGCCTCCTGTCCTGCACCAGGACGAGCCATCTAACCACACTGAATGACTGGGTTATTGTTCCTCTTGTATTGTGTGTGAGACTTTGCCCATGGATTTGAGGTAAAAGTGACACAGACTCTCTGAGAGACATGGTCTATGAGGGTCGTCTTTTCCTGTGGTTGAGACGACTGGTTTAATTTTATGGGAATTATACCTGAGGGGAGATGTCAAACATTATATAAAAAATGAACAAAGATGTAAAAATAAAAACAGGCAAACCAAAGTAACCAAAGAAACAAACAAAAAACCATCTGGCCATCAAACCCCAATGCAACCATTTCACTTTTGACCTTTACTCTAGACACATTTATTGAAGCTATGTGAAATTCCATGTTCTCTTCCTTGCTCTCCAGAAACTTCAGGAAAGTGAATGGGGAATGTTTTCTTGCAGCTCTTTCATAGGTTACCATGGAAAACTTTCTGTCTCCAGAAATTTCTGATGAAAAACAGTCACAAGTATTTTTGATCACTCTGCCATGTGGATAAAATTCTAATAGAGCACTAACATTCATTTACATCATCTTCCTACCACATGTTTCTCAGTCTTTGCTGTTTGATGGCCCTGCTACTGAGTCTTGCCAGTAACATGGGTCAGTTGGTGATAGTCCTAATTAGTCTCCAAGCAATCTGTTCCAGGTTACTTTGCAATTTGTGCGTTAGATGCAGTGATGAAGATGAATGAATGACCTTTATTAGGTATTGAAGATGGCTGAGCAATTGACAACCTGAATCCCTGAATGACTGCATGGATTAGGTAGATCATGTTCCCGTTCACAAATCTGGCACTTAAAAAAAGACTTAAACTCTTACTTTGATGGAAGATTGTGACTTACACATGGGCACATCCTTGATTGATATATGAGAAAGGCAACTTCTACTGTGTTTGAACCATATACCTTGGGTTATTGTTTTAAATAAATTAGCCTTTCTTAACTAACGTATTAATAAAATGTAAAGATGCAGGTTCTCCCAAGAGCTATCTTTCTGCTCCAGTAGGGTCTGTCTAGAGAGTGCATCCTTCTGTGGAGTATATCATTGCCCTCTTTACTGGAACCTCCAATCTATGAGTGAGTCCCTCAATCCTTCATTTGGCTGGTGGGGTGGGAGTAGCATCTCCTTGTCTTCTTCCAGAGTGTCATTCCAGAAGAATCTCTTTAGGAGGAGTTTTGCTTTCTCCACCTATCAAGTGACCACGATGATTTCATTTTTCTCTTTCTCTTCAGGGTAAAATATAACCCTGGGGTTTATTGGGGTTGATTGGCTTACTACCTCTATTGAATTCCAGGGTGGGGCAGGATGGTATTAGGCTCCAGATGTCAGAGGTTTTTCATGGATGTAGAGTCTTGTTGCCTATGATTTCTAGCTGTGCTCTGTAATGGTAATTCTGTCAATGGAGAATGTCTCATTGGTACTCTGGGGCATTATAATATGGCAATTCGCTGAAAAAGTGAGAAATAAGGAGACAACCAGTTTGGATATTGAGGTTCATTGTATGCAGATTTGGATGAGGGAATAAGTAGGAATCAAAGAGCTTAGGAGAGTCTGTTCTCTGCTAAAGCTTTAGTTCAGGGCACAGGGCCATGTTTGATATTTTTGGTTTAAGATATATCCTTTTGCTTTTAGGTTTTATGAATTGACTCAATTCCTTCTATTTCTGGGCATCATTTCTTAGCTTCTCATTGCAGTTTCAGGCCCATGTTTTCTCTATATTTAATATCACAGATGGTCTAGGATGGCTATCGAAAAATGATGGAAGGAATTGGGAAGAGAGAGGAAGAAAAAGTTGATATTGGTGAAGGGAGAGAGGCAGAGGAGAATATGAATAAAGCTTGAGGGCCGCAGGTCCCAGTT